TTGCATAGCATCATATCAATCTTTGTAATTATAAATCAAGCACTACATGCCAGGCTTGTCCACCCTCAAGTAGGATATATCGGGTTCATCCACCCTCAAATAGGATATATCGGGTCTATCCACCCTCAAATAGGATATATCGGGTTCATCCACCCTCAAAAAGGATATATCGGGTTCATCCGCCCTCAAATAGGATATATCGGGTTCATCCACCCTCAAATAGGATATATCGGGTCTATCCGCCCTCAAATAGGATATATCGGGTCTATCCGCCCTCAAATAGGATATATCGGGTTCATCCGCCTTCAAATAGGATATATCGGGTCCATCCGTCCTCAAATAGGATATATCGGGTCTATCCGCCCTCAAATAGGATATATCGGGTCTATCCGCCCTCAAATAGGATATTGGAGTTAATCCTTCCTCCAAAAGGACGTCAATTTATTTCGACCCGAGCGGTCCCGCTTGCATAAGCATTGCTAAAATATATCTTTCATAAATCATTTCCAAATGCATTTATTTTCATAAGCTGAATTTTCATATGGCATTGCGATCATGAAATATATCACCATAACATTATATTTTATATGTTTGCACAATAAATTCGCATTTCTTATTAATTGACTCCTAAATATTATTTTCGTAAGATTACTTTTATGGCATATTGCATCTTATTTCCTAACGAATTTTTTTAGCATTGTTAAAGATTTGCAGGAAATATAGCGCAATGTGGAACTATATCTTAGCAGTGAACTGGGGCAGTTGTTGGGGAGGAATACCAAACTCTCCAATAAAGGTCAAGGATCTACTTCGAACTCCACTCAGGTCGACTCTCAAAATTCCTAACAAAATTCTTATTTTAAACATCTTTCTTTCAATCACGGTACCCACTATTTCTATGATTCGACACTGGGACAGTATTTTTAGGATCCGCAACAATAGTTAAATCCTACCCCATAATACCATAAGTCTTGAACTACATATGGCCCGATTCTCATGAAAACCGAGATATGTAGGCAAATCGAAACCGGAATTCGGCCACAATTATTTTTTTTTACGTCCCCTGTGTCCCATTCCAACCTTGATGGTCGAGACAAAATTGGCTACTAAGTCAATATTCTTTGCCCGAAAACTCTTTCATCGTCTCCGGTCAAAGAGGGGCAGCTGTTGACATCCAATTTTGTCCCTCCTTTCTTCCAAATTATTTCTTTGAGCTTCTAATATTGTTTATTATGTAAGAATATTTATTTTACTATTTTATCTAATTAGTATCATTATTTTATTATTCTATTTTTTCATTAGATAATGTTATTGGGGTTATTATTATTATTATTATTATTATTATTATTATTATTATTATTAGTATTATTATTACTACTACTACTACTATCACTATTATTATTATTATTATTATTGTTATTTATTATTATTATTTCTACTATGATGACGACGATGATTTTATCTCTCAAATAATTTCATTTAACGTCAATCTAATAATATTCTCCTTTACAAATATTTTTCACTGCATTGCAGTGATCCTATTTGTAATATATTTATTAGTATCTACTAAATATATTTTTACAACAAAAGTTTGTAATTATTTAAACACTAGAAAATTATTTAATATAAATATTTATTACTAAGCATATCAAGATTTAAGATTTAAGAAGCCCAAATAAAAGATGAAGAAGAAAGAGATTTAGCCCTTTCCATAGCCCAAATCGGAGGCCCATACCCACCATCCCACCTGCTCTACTTCTTTTCCCTGTCAGCTCCACATAAGCCCCACGTCAGTGCCACATAGGTGCCAACGGTCCAAAAGACACGCCAAGCACACGCCTAGCACAACCCTCACACACATCCCACTCCTATGTCCACGTGGCGACATCTGAGCCGAAGATTTTAAATCGACGATTAGGATCAAAACTTCTAGAAAACTCTAAAATATCACCATTTATTGACTTTCCTTTTATTATTTTAATTTTACAATTTAATTTCAGCCATAGATTCATCTAATCTAATGGTCAGAATCCCCCCCATCATAATATCTTTTCCTAACCCTAATTCCTATTCTCTCTCTCCTAAACATCCAAAATAGACGCTTCTTCTCCTCCCTTTCCTCTTCTTCACAAAATTCCATCCTTGCTCAGCCATGGCAAACCTTGCCATTACCATTTTTAGAATAAGAAGCTGTACATCTCATTTAATTCTCCTGCAAGATCAACGTTCAAAATTCAAACGTCCCTTGACTCGATTTCAAGCCTTAAAATCCCGCCCAAATTAACCCTAGGAAACCCTAGCTAGTCCTCCCATAAATACTGATGTTTAGGAATACTTTCGGACCACTTCTGGAACGATGGCGTCTCTGCCTTTTTGAAAGAACTTTGCTCTTCAGAAAATACTCTAAAAATCCTTGGTTGCATCGCCTCTGTTTCTCTTTGCTACAACAGAGGCATTTTGTTTGCACTTTTTTGGAGCTTGTAAAGTTCGTGGTTGCAAGTTTGAGCCCTAGTTCGAAGCCGGAGTCAAGTAGATCTGTTTGATGCGCGCCCTAGTTCCTGCACCACAAAAGGTCAGCGACTCTCTTAATTCTATCTCCCGTTTTCTTTTATCTAGTTTCAACTTGCGTGTTTATTTGCTAGTATGTGAATCACTGTTTTTTTTTGTTTTTTAGAAATTGATTTAGGATATACTCGGATCGTGTATTTTGGTTGTAAGCAATTTTGTACTAGAATGAAATGTGTTTGACCGAATTGCAGATAGCATGTCCTTAGGGAATTCTGATTATGAGTTTCTTGAGATATATTATCGTATTTCCCTTATTAGCAATCATGTGTTAGTTTCTGTATTATCTAGTTGTAAAGAAGTTTTTTTTAAAATAGTTGTTCACATATTAGAATCCATGTGTTAGGATTTTCTTACTTATTTATAGATAACTAAGGATTTATTCTTTTATGCAATATTTTTAGATTAATATTTTTAGTTTATGGGAAGAATGCTATCTTATCACAACCCATACTAAAACTCATGCCATTAGGATATTTATAATGAGCAGATAATTAAGCGAAGTATGTGTTTGTTGTGTTCTTTGAATTTGATCATGTTCAGAACAACATACTTATAACTTAACTTAGCCGAATATTAAGATGTTGGAATTCTGTTTAAAAGTGGAGACGAGAGGCTATGGTTTAGGGTCCTACTTGTTTGGATATTATGTCTGTTTGAATTGCTGATATGAATGAAGTTTGGTATTAAAAAACTTGAGAAATTGCTTAGGCCTTTCAAACTATAAATAACTAAAGTTTTCTAAATAGTTATGCGCCTTTGTTCACTTAAGTAGGAAAGTTCTTTGGCTGAGGAATAACATAGAATTATTATAAACTTAAGTAGAACTAGTTAGTGCTTAACAATGTGTTATAGATTGAAAATTATACTCTCAATTGGTAGAAAAGATAATATTCAGGAAGGTTAAAATATCATGTGCAAAGGACTTGAAGTTATTTTAAACCACCCGCCATTATTAAGTTCTTGTATGGGCGCTCAAGAAGAGTTTATTCTGAAGTAAGTGCAGCAGTTTTGACATTGATGAACCTTTAAAATTATTTTCCTTCCCTAACCTTTACTACAAAGTATGCTGTTAGGATATTTTTTTAACATTTGGTTCTATTAATTGAATAAGGTTAAAATAGTATGTATTTAGTTCCTTTTAAAAAGGGTTAAGTGAGTTTCCATATTTACTGTCGCCAAAATCGATTATTCTTAGGCTAGCTTTGTTAGTTTAACTTTTAGATCTCAAATGAACGTGGAAAAGACTATCTTCATATCTTTTTGAGGAAACTACAAATATGTTTGGTTCACTGAAGGAAGATAATCATTTGCACTTTAACGAAAGCCTAAGATTCGGGTTTAAGCTAGAAGATTGACTTATATGTTGCCTTTGTTTTCGTAGTCTATTTCAGGTTTTTTTTTATTTTTTATTTTTATAACATTTCTCTAATCCATGTCTTCTTTCATCTTTGTTTGCATATGCACTTAGATAATACGAGTCTTAATGCAAGACTCGCCAAACCGAGCATGGAGTCACCACTACATTTTACGCTAATGGACAGCAAGAAAATAAGCAAATTTGCTTGGGGTCGCCTATGGCGGCCTTCGTTTTAGCATAAATTCCGTTTCTCTTGGTTGATTATTATTTATGCGATTTGGATTTTTTAGTTTAGATTCATCTTTAGTATGGTATTGACAATCAAGTTGGAATTTGGTATTTTCACTTTAGGATGATAACAAATTATTTATCTTATATATTGTAGTGCTCTTGTTGGTTTTAATATGAACTAGTAAAACTAGATGCGTGTCATATTTATTAGAATCAGCAGTGCTTTTTAAACTCATAATTAGCACAGAACTTGAACTCCAGTTTTATTTTAGAATGTGACTTTTAGCCTTTCAAATGTTAAAGTTCTTTCGGAACTAAGCAAACTGATTTTTGGCATCTTTATCCGTTGCTTTAGTTTAAAGAGTTCTTTTGTAGTTAATTATTTGAGATCAAACAAGTATTTTTTTTTATTTCAAATCCTAATAGTTTTGATAAAGCAATTTTGAGTTCAAATCTTGAACAGTTGTTCTATCTTGACTTAACGTGACAAAAACTTTTGAAGGATTACTTAAACATTTTTCAATCTGTAACGAATATGAGTTACTTTTTCCTAAAACACATCAATTACTATACATAGTCTTACATTTAATTAACCTAAGTTTGGCCGGTTAACCGTAACTAACGGATCATGTAGGGTGCTTTAATAACCTTCCCTGTAGGATTAATTAGAACTCTTACCCATAATCTTAAGGTTAAGCAGACCATAAAACAGAGTTAAATTTAAGCACTACATAATTAAAATTGGTGTCCTAATTCACCTTTAAATTAATTAGGTGGCGACTCTTTTAATTTATTAAACCTCAGAATTACCAATATGTTATACTCTAGTTTGACCCGTGTTAAAATGGGGTATAACAGCAATTTGAACACTAATGGAACAGTACCATGCACTCCAAGCACTGTAGAGAAAACAAAAGAGGAAGGGAAGCAAATGGAAACTCAAGCACAAACATGGGCAAATGTGGTGGTTGGAAACAAATTGGCTATGAAGGGCATGAACCTGCAATTTATTGCCCCAATTGTGCAAAATGGAGAGAAAATGGTGAAAATCGAAGGAGAAGATGTAGAGCAGGAGACAGCAAAGTGGAAGAATGCTATTGTCATCTATGTAATAGGTGATTCTCCCTCAATTGGAGCCATGGACAGATTTGTGCATTCACTGGGGAAATACTCAAAGAAGCCTCAAATATACTACCATAATGAGGATTATTTCATCATTAGATTCATTAGTTCTGAGGAGAGGGACCGAATTCTGTACTCAGGACCTCATACGATCAATAATAGACCAATAATTATGAAGGCATGGTTGGAGGAGTTCAACCTTCATGATGAGGTGTTAAAGACAATTCCATTGTGGGTTAAATTGCCTAATCTACCTGTAAATTGGTGGAGTATGACAGCACTAAGCAAAATAGGTAGTGCTTTAGGTAACCCCATCTATGTTGATGAGTGTACGACTGATGCAGTGAGAGTGTCATATGCAAGACTATTAGTTGAAATGGATATCACAAAGCCACTTCCAAGACAAATAAAATTGCAGGATCCTAAAGGGAGGGAGATGATGCAGATGGTGGAGTATGACTGGGAGCCCAAATATTGCAACAAATGCTTGAAAATAGGTCATGAATGTACTGAAAACAGGAAGCCAATACAGCAGAAGAAGAAAAATAAAGGGAGAATGGCATGGGTCAGAGTGGATAAAGAAGAATATAATGAAACTAAGGAGAATGATCAAAAAATAGAGAGTTCAGAACAACCAAGGATTGAGGCAGAACAAGGAAAAGATGGAGTGCAAAGCAAGGATGCATGGTGGATAACAGTAGTAGGCAAATCTGCAGCAAGAACCGGTACAGCAAAACAGAAAGAAGTTCATAGCATTGATGAAGCTAATACTTTTCAGAGTTTGATGTATGATCATAGGAATAAAATAGCAGGAACAAGTCAGATCAGTAGCCAAGGAGATCAAGGGTACTTTCACTATACATTCCAGTATGAGTGTGGTTACTTGGAATGTTAGAGGGATGAATAAAACATATAAGCAGAAAGAAGTGTCACACCTCCTTTTTCGCTACTACACCCCGTGAAGGGTATAATAAAGGAGTTTTTCCAATTAAAGGACAATCGAAACGAGATTCGTTTATTAAGAGATTCAGAGTCGCCACTTGGGAGATTTATGGTGTCCCAAGTCACCGGTTTGAATCCCGAATCGAGGATAGGGTTTGACTCTGTATTACAGTCGCGAACCAGAAATCCGAGCAAGGAATTCTATTAACCCGGGAGAAGGGGTTAGGCATTCCCGCGTTTCGTGGTTCTAGCACGGTCGCTCAACTGCTATATTTGGCTAAAATCTGATTTTAATACATGTTTTAACTTATGTGCTTTTGAACCTTGAACCGCTTTATTATTATTTTTAACGAGAATTGCAACATCGTGAAAATGTATTTCGAACCACGTTACATAAATGCACCCGTGGTTGTTGACACATTTCGACTTCGTTGAGATTTGGATTTGGGTCACATAAATGCGCACCCGAGTTTAGGAAGGTAAAATTAGTTAAGTAACGGACCTAAAGCAACTAACGTGTTATTATCTTTGGGGAAAGCCGTGAAATTCGCTAAACGGCCTCCCGAATTCTAAGGATTTTAATGGGAACATTTTAAAAGGGGGCCCCGCAATTTATGCATTTTATTTGTCGGGGCTCACCTCATTTATTATTTAAAGGCCAGTCCTAAAGCAAGCTACAATTTTCTGCTTAATTTGTCCCTAAAAATAAAAGAAGAAGCCCTAATTAATTAGTATTGTTCAAAACTATTATACTTAGGTCCTTGACTGTATAATTCAGGTTTAACAAATTCGGGGCCTCGGAATCAGCCCAAAAACTGAGTGAGACGATCAGCCTTGAAAAGCTATTTAGAGGCGTAGGGCCTTGGCCTGGGTCCAATTCGGGCACACTGGGCTTGAAATTCAGTTGTAGTTCTGCCCAGTTGTGAATTCTCAGCATGCAATATGATTCCAATTAGATGTTGTCCTCAAATTAAGCTCAGCAATGCTGATCGAAACAAACCTACTATTAATTTGGATTACACGTTCCTGTGTCTAAACCAATGAACCGTTATCAACACTTTGGGAAGTCAATGTTCAAACTAATACAATCACTATTTATAGTAAACTTATTAAATCCAGAAAGAACACAGCACGCTGAGTACTGACTCTTTGGCAAAAAGCAAAAAAAAATCAGAAATGCTGAAATCGAAACTGATGCTCATGTGTAACCTACGTTTGGTGTTTTCTATCCAAATTCCAATGCTACTCGAATTGACAACTTCAAATTCACATTATATTCCCCTTTTCCTTTCAATTGATACAATACTACTTCAATTAACGACTAGTATGAAAGCTAACTCCAGTTTAACAAACATTAAATTAAGTATTCATAAACTGAGAATAAGCAATCTAACTAACCAAATACAGTCCAAACAATCATGTTATGGTCCAGATCAGTTCAATAGTCCAGTATAGCCCACTTTTAACTACAGAAATCAAACATTAGATGCTAACATGTGTATTAATATGAACTATAGTTAACGTCTCTCATACAACCCAATTTTCAGTCCAGTTGATACAAAACCAGCAGGGATCTACATAACATCAGTGAGTGAAATGTTTAAATACACAAATCAGAAAGAGAGCTAAATCAGAACTTAGGCTTCAATTCTTCACATATATTCATTCTTCATGTTTTCAGCTTACAATTGCCAAAGTTACAGCTGTGTACCTGGAATTGGAATAGAATGTAAGAGGAGAAGAAGATCAGCAGCAGCAGAGGTCTAACGGGAATCAAAACCAGCAACAACAGGAATAATTTTGAACCGAAATCACTTCACAGAACCCAGAAAAACATCACAGAAACACAGCACCCAATAACTGATCCAAAAATGTCTCGACTGAACCCAAAACCCACTTGAAATCAAACCAGAAACACTTCTGAAACTTCAACTACCAGAAATTAAGCTAGGAAATGCAAATCAACTACTAAAACTTGTAATTAACCTAAGAAATTGAATAGAACAGTGGATTTTTGGATTTTTCTGTAGCTTTTGTATATTTTTTTTTTTTTTGAGATTTTTAAGATGAAAAGAGACTTTAGAATTTCAGATCTAGTGTCTGAATTTGAAATTCAAATTTAACTTCCGGAAACTATATCTATTTTGGGGGGAATTTTTGGAGGTTCAGACTTTTTAGGAATTTTCAGGGTCTGTAAACTTGTTCAACAAGGCAGTATCCACTGCCTTTTATAGGCAAAAGTGAGGGCAGCCCTCAGATTTTTCAATTTTCCTTTTAGTCCCTCTTTTATTTTCCAATTTTACTCACTTAGTCCTCTATTTTCTGACTTATTACTCAAGTTACTACACTAAGACTGCTGAAACTTACACTAAGGCCCTATTCAAGACGAGTCTAGGGAATTCTAGCATTGTTTTCTATTTATGGAATACCTATACTACCCTTACTTTTATTCTGAAATTGCTAAACCTAACAAACTAACCCATTTTAAGTGCCCAAAATACCCCTGAATACCCCTGAAACTACTAACCCTATACCAAACTAGACCCCGCCCTCTTTTACCCTAGTTAAGGTCAACTACAGGCAAACCAAATACCTCTAATTCAGCTATAACCAACCAGGTTAAAAAGCGCTAGAATTGAATTATCAAAACTGCAAATTAATCCTGATTCATACTTTACCAAACCATCAATCAAACAAAATTAACAATCAAACATTAGACTAAACTAAACTAAAAAATTAAACATGAACTAACACAGAATCATCAAACAATAAGAAAGAAAAGAGAAGAAGAGAAAACAGAATAAAAAAACGAATAAAAAATCATAAAATTCTGGATGGAACAGGAATCACACATGAATGAGGCTGAACTAAACGAGATTAGGCAGGGATAGAAAAATCAACACAGGAATCAAACAAAAATAATGCGACAAGGAAACCAGAATCATTAAACGAAAATTACAATCAAATAAGAGTAGAAACTCACTGACTAACAATTATCACAACGAAAAACAAACAGAAGAAACAATCAAATAAGAAGGGCAAAAACCTTACTGATTAAACTTCTATAGTCCCGCTTCTTAGATTTGAAATTCAGACCACTCTGGTGAAATTCGAATGCTATTGACAACGGATTCAACATGAGGGAGGCGAGGTGACCCTAGGGTGTTAATTTGAGGCCAATTGGGTGAACTAGGGTTTTGACGAAATCTTTGATTTGATATTCGAAGACTTCGACCGGGATTCGAGGAAAAAGGTTTAAGGACTTGAAGAGAGGAGGGTGAGGAGACTCTGTGGTGTTATTTTGGTGGTGAACGGAGCCGGCGCCGCCATGTGCGGCGGAGATGGAGTTTAGGATTTTGTATATTTGGGGCGTTTGGTTGGGATTTGAGAAGAGTTGGTCATGGATTCGTGTTGAGGGGGTTAAGACGGTGTAGGAGTGTCATTTTGGGCGGCTTTGAAGCATCGCCGCCGGCGGAGACGGTTTCCGGCCGGCGGCTTAAGGCGGAGGGTAGCGGAGACGGACAGGGTACGAGGAAGGAGACCTTTGTCTCTAGGGTTCTGTAGATTTTAAGACAATTTTATTTAAAAGCACTGAACTAGTAAGGACCGTTGGATGATAAGAAATGAACGGTCAAGATGGATTGGGACTTTAAAGATCGCAAAACGACGTAGTATTGACATGATACTACGTCGTTTTGAGGGGTCTTAGGGGCTGAAAACTGGACCGGATAAGAGAGTGAATTTGGGCCAATTTGAAGTGGGTTTGGGGTTTTGGCTTTGGGCTGGTATTAAAATGGCCCAATCTTGGTGCCTGATTTTTCTTTTATTTAAGCTCAAGTCAATTTCATTTTATTTCTTTTGATTTTTGTTCATTTATTATTTTTTTTGAATTTTGTTAAATGCAAAACTAAAAGTAAAAACCCCAAATTAACTCCAAGATTACACTAATTAAGTTCCAAATAAACTAATTCCTAATTCAAAAGCAAACCAAGACAAATTAAAAGTATAAATGCAAAAGAACCATTTTTGTTATTTTTTTTATTATTTTTTGTAGTATTGATCACTAATTAATCCTAAAATGTGACATTAACCCTACATGCAAATGCCAAGTATTTTTTTTATTTTTCATGAATTAAAAAATAATAAGCGTGCACAAACAAATGCAAACAATTAACAAAAAATGCCACAAAAATCCATAAAATTGTAAATAATGAAAAGAAGTTATTTAGTTTTGAATATACGGGAGTAATTCATATAGGGGAAAAATCACGTGCTCACAAGAAGTTAAGGAGTTTGTTAGAATAAATAATAAAGCTATAATAGCTATAGTAGAGCACAGAGTTAAGGAATTGAAAGCCATTGCTATAATCAGGAAGATTGCTCCAAGACAGGAATGGGTATCTAATGCTAAAACAGGAAACAAAGGAAGAATTTGGATAATGTGGGATCCTAGAATCTATATCTTTGATCCTAAGGAAATGGATGAACAATTTATTCATGGGCAGGTTAGAGTGAAGTCAAGGCCAGTTAATTTTGGTTTCACAGCTGTTTATGGATTACATACTATCAAAGACAGGAAACCTTTATGGGATAAACTGAGGCAAATAAATAGTATTCAACAAGGTCCTTGGTTGGTAATGGGGGATTTTAATGCAGTTCTTCATATAACAGACAGACAACATGGATCAGAAGTGCAGGACATGGAAATGAAAGATTTTAAGGAATACATGATGGACACAGGCATGAATGAATTACCATCAGTGGGAAGGGACTATACATGGACCAATAATCATACATATAGTAGGATAGATAAGGGGTTGGTGAACACTGAGTGGATGATGATAATGCCAAGCATGAAAATACAGGTATTAAAGCCATTGATATCTGACCACTCTCCATTAAAGCTGATGATCACACAGGGGCATACAAAGAAATGCAGACCATTTAGATTTTTGAATTGCATTGCTGATCACCCTCAATTTATCCAACTGGTTCAAAGTGCTTGGAAAGAGGAAAAGGAAACTAGAAAGATGCAAAGAGTGTGGCAGAAACTGAAAAGAACTGAGGAGCTCATCAAGGAACTAAATACACAGCATTACAAAGGGCTGGATGGGAAAATTAAAGAGGCAAGGATAGAGTTACAGACAATACAGGAAGACATGGGTAATAGAAGGCATGACACTGTGCTAATTGAGAAAGAGAGGATATTGAAGCAGGAGTTAGAAAAATAGGTGAATATTGAAGAAAGTGTCTACAAACAAAAATCAAGGGTGCAATGGCTGAAACTGGGAGATTCCAATTCAAGATATTTCTTTGCACAGATGAAGCATAGAAACAGTACAAATGGAATTCAAATGCTAGTAGATGATATGGGGAAGCAATTGGTGCTAGATGATGAAATAGAAGCAGAAGTTCTTGGCTATTACAGGAACCTTTTAGGTGCAAAAGATGAGTCCATTCCAGCCGTAAATCCAAACATAATCAAAATGGGAACTACCTTGAGTAGAGACCAACAACTGCACCTCATCAGACAAATTACCAAGGAAGAAATAGAAGAGGCATTGAATGATATAAATGACCTCAAGGCTCCAGGATATGATGGTTTCAATGCAGTATTCTTTAAGAAAGCATGGGGTGTATAGGTAAAGAGGTGATAAAGGCAGTGGAGGAGTTCTTTGAATCTGCACAGATGTACAAACCAGTAAATTGCACAGCTATAACTCTGATACCTAAAGTCAAGAATCCAACAAGTATAAATGAGTTCAGGCCTATTTCTTGCTGCATAGTGATTTACAAAGTAATCTCTAAGGTGCTAACTAGAAGATTGCAGTGTGTTATGAATGTGTTGGTAGATACTTCTCAAGCTGCATTTGTGCCAGGAAGAGCAATAACTGATAATATCATTCTGAGCCATGAGTTGATTAAAGGATATGGGAGGAAAGGTGTATCTCCAAGGTGCATGATGAAACTTGACATGCAGAAAGCATACGACTCAATTGAGTGGGACTTTATGGAACAAATGATGCATGCTCTAGCTTTCCCAGGTCAATTTGTGAAGTGGATAATGGAGTGTATAAGAACAGTGTCATATACAATACTGATAAATGGTGCTCAGACTAGACCCTTTAAAGCACAAAGAGGTTTAAGACAAGGGGATCCCCTATCCCCTTATTTGTTTGTGCTTGCACTGGAATACTTGACAAGGAGGATGAAAATGCTCACTAGAGACCCAGACTTCAACTACCACCCTAAGTGTGCAAAGATGAAAATCTTGCAACTTGGGTTTGCTGATGATCTTTTACTTTTTTGCAGGGGAGACCTGAAGTCAGTACAGCTTATATTCAATGGATTTCAAGAGTTTTCAAAGGCATCAGGATTGAAAATTAACAAGAACAAAAGCTCTATCTTCTGTGGAGGAGTCACAAAAGAAAACCAAAAAGAACTGCTAAAATTTCTGGGGATACAACAGGGAGAGCTGCCTGTGAGATACCTTGGAGTCCCACTAAGCACAAAGAGAATATCAGTGGCACAATGCCAACCCTTGATTGAGAAGATTGTAGGAAGAATAACTACTTGGACTACCAGATTCCTGTCCTATGCAGGAAGAGTACAGCTTATAAAAGTGTACATTTGCAATGCAGACATACTGGGCACAAGTGTTTGTGATGCCCAAGAAGATTACAAGTTAATGAATCCATTGCAGNNTCCTAACCAATCACACACACTAACTCAATAACATCCTACGAACTTACTCGAGCGATCAAATCGCCAAAATAACATCAAAATCAATGAATCAAGCCTCAAAATTATCATTTTCATTTTCAACTCCCTAAACTTCTAATTTTAGAGAATTGGGTCCGAAACACGTCAAACGACGTCCGATTTCGATCAAACTTCACAGGAAGCGCTTAACACACATTTAAGACCTGTACCGGGTGTCGGAACAAAAATACGAGCCCGATACCATAGTCTTTTGATCAATTTTCATTTCCATTTTCCTTAATAATTTCAGAAAAATAATTTCACAGAAAAATTCATTTCTCGGGCTCTCGACCTCGAAATTCGACTCCGGGCATATGCCCGAGTCCCATATTTTTCTACCGACCCTCCAGGACCGCCTAATCACGGGTCCGGGTCCGTTTACCAAAAATGTTGACCAAAGTCAACTTTAGCAATATTAATATCAAAATTCTTCAAATTTTTCACAAAGTTCACATATTTCAACATAAAAGCTTTCCGGCTTCGCGCCCCGACTGCGCACGTAAATCGAGGCAACTAGAGGCGAGGTTTTCAAGGCCTCGGAAGCACGGAAAAGAGAGAAATCCGGTGATGACCCTTTGGGTCGTCACAGTTTCGTACCTGAGTTGAGAGTGTTCAAATGGTCGGGCTTGCCTAACATTGTGTTGGGCGCCATCACGACCGGGATTGGGGTCGTGACAGTTGGTCGCTAAACAAAGGGTAGGCAGATAGCGACCAACTTTGGTCGCTAAAGTGGGACTCAGTTATAAATTTTAATAATTATATTTTTAATATAAATATTACATAAAATATAAATAAATTAGATTTAAATTTTGCGGCCAACTTTGGTCGCTAAATTAATTTCATGTATAATTAGCGACCAAAGTTGGTCTCCATTGAGGTCAACAATGGTAAATATTAAAATCACTTTTGTATTTACTATCTAAATAATATAAATGTAAGTCGTTAATATATATAATATATATACTTACGCTGTAATATGCACTAAGTATAAGTGTATTAGGTAATATTATAACGAATATATAAGGCGTATATATATCTAATATATATAATTACGCTGTACTATGCACTAAGTATAAGTGTATTAGGTAATATTATATCGAATATATAAGGCGTATATATATATATA